CTATTTTCATTAAGAATAAGATTTCTAACCAATGTGATTTTGCAACCTGTACACTCAGAAAAATGAAAATTATACCCCATCTGATTCAAATGTATGATATGTCAAGATCATTGTACTATCATGTGTAACTAATTAAAACAAATAAAAAAATAATAAATAAATATAAGAATAAGATTTCTAGGCATTTTTTAAAAAACATCAAGTTATAGATTTTCCTTTTTTTTTTGTATTTTTTCATGAACATGCTTTGAATTTTATTAAATTGTATCTTCGAGAAAGTCTTGTTTTTGTCATTTGGCAGTGTGATGAATTACACTTGCGGACTTCTAAAATTAACCACTCTTGCATTCTAGCAATTAATCTAACTTGTTCAAAATGTGCTAATTTATTTTGTCTGGAAGTTTTGTATCCTTGTGTTATTAATACATGTGACTGATCTTTAATTTTCTTTACATTGTCCTTTTCTAGTTTTGGTGTCAAGTCTTAGCATGAATGACACTTTTTTTTTTTTTCTGCCTTCGTATTTTCTTAAGAGTTTGATAAGGAGGTGGAGGATACAACTCTGTGGGTGAGGCCCTGCGTTCCATCCCCAGCAATGAAAGTAGAGAAAAGGGAAAAACAGACCAAAGAAATTAAATAACTTGGGCTGGGGATGTGGCTCAAGTGGTAGTGCGCTCGCCTGGCATGCGTGCGGCCCGGGTTCGATCCTCAGCACCACATACAAACAAAGATGTTGTGTCTGCCGAAAACTAAAAAGAAAAAATAAATATTAAAAAAATTCTCTCTCTCTCAAAAAAAAAAAAAAAACTCTTAAAAAAAAGAAAATAAATAACTTGCTATTTCTCCTCAAAAGTCTATTTCTGTTAGAAATAGTTTGATGTATCTATTCTTCTCTTTTCCCTTCATACTTATTGAGTCTTTGTCTTTGTTACAGCCTTTATTATTAGCATAGAGCAAGATTTTTTTCCTAAGCTGTCCATCTCTAGTTTCTAAGTGGGATATTTAGTCCATGTGTATTTTGTTATCACATTTAAACTTGTGTCTACATTTTACTTTGTGCCTTCTCTATGTTGCTTTGCCCACCACTGTTTTTCCTTTTGCTTTAATTGTTAAGTTTTCCATGATTTCATCTGTCAGTTTGACAGATATGTACTCAATTTCTGTCCTTGCAGTGGTTATCTTTGAATGTTGATCACGTTTTAGCTTCACAAAATCAAAGTTGTTATTTTAGCTTCTCTAAAGAACAGACACTAGGAGCTTAGAATATTTAACCCCAAGCACTTTCCCTCCTGGATTTGCATGACATTGTTGTCTAATATCTCAGTTCTATCTTTAAAACATTTTTTTTTCACTTTTAAAATTGACAAAAAGTAATGCAATTAGAGAAATGCAAATCAAAACCACTCTAAGATTTCATCTCGCTCCTGTCAGAATGGCAGCTATTATGCATACAAACAACAGTAAGTGTTGGTGAGGAGGTGGGGGAAAAGGTACACTCATACACTGCTGGTGGGATTGCAAATTGGTGCAGCCAATATGGAAAGCAGAATGGAGATTCCTTGGAAAATTGGGAATGGAACCACCATTTGACCTAGCTATCCTTCTCCTGGTTCTATACCCAAAGGACTTAGAAACAGCATACTACAGGGACACAGCCATATAAATGTTTATAGCAGCACAATTCACAATAGCTAAACTGTGGAACCAAATAGATGCCCTTCAGTAGATGAATGGATAAAAAAAATGGCATATATACACAATGGAATATTACTCAGCAATAAAAGAGAATAAAATCATGGCATTTGCAGGTAAACAGATGGGGTTAGAGAAGATAATGCTAAGTGAAGTTAGCCAATCCCAAAAAACCAAATGCTGAATGTTTTCTTTGATAATAAGGAGCTGATTCATAGTAGGGTAGGGAGAGGGAGCATGGGAAGAATAGATGAACTCTAGATAGGGCAGAGGGGTTGGAGGGGAGGGGATAGGGCATGGGGTATTTAATGATTGTGGAATGTGATGATCATGATTATCCAAAGTACAGGTATGAAGACACGAATTGGTGTGAATATACTGTGTATTCAACCAGAGATATGAAAAGTTGTGCTCTATATGTGTAATAAGAATTGTAATGCAATCCATTGTCCTATATAAATAAAGAAAACAAAAAATTTTCGACTGATGTGTATGATGATAAATAATTACTGTATTGCCATTTTATTTTTATCTTATTAAATGTCACTTGAAAATTTAAAAAAAAATTGACGTAAAGTAAGATCTACTCTTTTGATAGACTTCTTTGAGTTTCAACATGTATATAGATCTGCGTAACGCTGCCACAAACAGAATACAGGATGATTCCCTAGTTCCTCTGGGTTGTAGTCAAACCCTGCCCTGCCCCCCACCTCCAATCCATGCCACCTGCTGCTCCCTTTTCCTCACCTGTGGCTTGGCTTTTGCAGCATGGCATACTGTGGGGGTCATTATGCCTGTGGCCTCTTGGAAAGGTACTTCTCCCTATTCTGTTCCTAGTTTTTGCAGAATGGTGTCCCTGCTGCACCCAGAGCTTATACTGTTGTGCATGTGTCAACTCGCTGTCCTGTTGGGGCACAGGCGGCTTGCCTCCAGACTGTCAGTATTGCAAGTCGAGTTGTACAAGCAATTCACAAGTGTTTTAGAGCTATGTGGATTTTTTAAACATGAAATCTTGATTGCTCCATAATAGCTTTTCTGGGTCACACAGCAAGTGAAAAAAAAAAAAATATATATATATATATATATATATTTTTTTTTTTTTTCAGGGCATTAAGGAATTGCCACACTGCTTCCCCCACAGTGGCCATACCAGTTTGCAGAGCTCAACCCCCAGCTATCAGTTGTACTTGCTATTATAGAGGGGTGTGTGTGTGTGTGTGTGTGTGTGTGTGTGTGTGTTCATTCTGGCACTTGTATCTAATTTTGATATTAATTGATGTTCTCCTAATGAACTATAAGCTTCTCATCTTATGTTCTTTTGCCATCAGTAAATTATCCTTTCTAAAGTTTCTGTTCTTTTTTATTTTATTTTTTATCATTTCAATGGATTTTTTTCCTTATTATTGAGTTTGAGAACTCTTCATATAATCAGATACATTTTTTTTTTCAGATTTCTCAAATGCAAGTATTTTTTGTCTTTTTGTGGGTCGTTGGTTCATCTTTAACCGTATCTTTCATGCAGCAAAAGTGCTTCTTTTTAAGGAAGTCTTAATATGTGAGTTTTTTTCTTTTATGACTCATGATTTTGATGGTATAGTTAAGAATTGAGTGTCTCAACCAAGGTCAAGGATATTTTTTTCCCGTGTTTTCTTTAAAATTTTTATAATTTTAATTTTTTTATTGAAGCCCTTGCTCTATTTGTGAATTAATCGTTATGCAATATGAAGATTGGACTGGAGTTCATATTTTTGTGTATTACTATGTTCCATTGCATTTCCTTAGCTGCTGCTTCTGTTAGAGCCGTCTTTGCCTGCATCAAGATTACTTGGTCTTCCTTGTCTAGGTCTGTTTCTAAATTCTTCGTTCTTTCCTATTGATTTAGGTTTCTGTCCTTTTGCCAACACCATACTCTTAAAATATATATATATGTATATATATAGTTGTAGTTGGACACAACACCTTTATTTTATTTATTTATATTTTTGTGGTGCTGAGGATCATACCCAGCACCTCTCACGTGCTAGGTGAGCGCTCTACCACTGAGCTACGACCCCAGCTCCTACACCATACTCTTTTGATTATTTAATTTTTCAGTAGTTTTAAAAATTAGATCATGAAAGTCCTACAGCCTTATTTTTCTTTCTAGAAATAGTTCCAGTTCTTTTGCTTCCTTTGTACTTTAATATCAATTTTTGAGTTGGTTGTCTGTCTCTGTAGCAGACCTTGTTAACTCTGGTTGGCATTGTGTTTAATCTGTGGTCATATGGGGGGAAAATTGGCATCTTTCCTGTGTTGAGTTTTCTAGCCCACAGACCTGGTATGTCCCTGCATTTATTTAGATCTTCTGTGATTTCTTTCACATGAGTTTGTGGTTTTCAGCCTGCAGGTGCTGTATGCGTTTTCATGGATCCATACCTGAGCGGTATATTTTTTTTGTAAACAATTGCTAGAGCTTTTTTTTGTTTTGGGCAGGGGTAGGGACTGTGATAGGGCACCAGGGATTGAACCCAGAGGTGCTCAACCCCTGAGCCTCACTCCCAGCCCTTTTTATATATTTATTTTTAAATATTGAGACAGGGTCTTGCCAAGTTGCTTAGGGCCTCACTAAGTTTCTGAGGCTGGCTTTGAACTCGAGATTCTCCTGCCTCAGCCTCCTGGGCTGGTCAATGCCGTTGTAACAACTTTAGCATTCCTGTGCTTTTTCCTAGTATGTAGAGATTTAATTTTTGTATGTATATCTGGTGTTACGAAATCTTGCTGATCCCATTTCTTCTAGGAATTTTTTTTGTGGGTTTCATGGCATTTTCCACATTCATGTCATCTGTGGACAGGGACCTCACTCCTGGTGGTCAGACCTTGGTGGTGGCTTTTGCCTTCGTTATCAGAACTCAATGTTTGTTGTTTACTGTTCTCTTCTCAGATTTCTGCTACTTTTTCTTGCTTATTTGGGGGAGGCTGAGGTGTATGATTGTGGAAACCTGCTTCATTCTGCTAGTGAAAAATGAGAACCAAAAAACCAAAAATGTGTATAGGAACAAAAGAAGTATGTTTGTTGTCCTTAATCCAGGTCCCATTTGTAGCCGGAAACTTGAGAGTGTCTTGTTTGCCTGTTTGCTAGTGTGCTGGTTATTTAAGATTCCTAGAATTGCCTCAGTACACTTTTGTTAGGAGTTTCTGCTATAATATCTCTGTTTCTCTAGGGTTGCTGTAAGAGAAGAGAGTGGCGAGTAATTGTAAGATTGTATGTTTTTTTCTTAAATTGATTTAAATTTAATTTTACTGATATATTTCTTGATTTTTCTCTTTAGGGCAGAAAAGACTGAAGTCCTGAGTGAAGACCTTCTTCAGGTAAGGTTATCACTGACCACGTGGCTCACGGACACCAGAGATGCTTTTCCTTCTAGGACTAAGCCATTCCCTGTGCTTTCTTCCACTGCTCTCTCTGCTCCTCATACAAACTGGAGATACAACTTTTTGTCTTACATGACAGTGTTTGACATTTTGAATACAATTGACCCCAACTCCCTCACTTCCACTGAAAAGATATTCTAGATAGTCTTAGACATCCACTTGGTTTTATTACAAGATATTTGTGAGCTAGGAGGACTTTTTCTCCTGCCTTAAGTGTATGCAAGTCCACATCTGTAGATTCAAACAACTATGGGTCCAAAATATTGGAAAACAGGCCTGGGGGTATAGCTCAGTGGCAGAGTGCTTTTCTTGCATGTGCAAGTCCTAGGTTTAATTCTTAGCACTGGAGGGGAATGAATGAATGAATGAATGAGTAGATAGATAGATAGATAAAATGAACAAGCAAATATATATATATATATATATATATATATATACACACACACACACACACACACATAGTATATGTTCATATATAAATAAATAAATTGAATTACATTGAGAAACAAATTTTGTCAGTCAGTACTGAACACATATAGAACTTTTTTTGCTTGTCATTATTCCCCAAACAATACAGTATAACTATTATTTGTATGAGATTTATATTGATTAGGTTTTTAAAGTAACCTAGAGATGATTTAAAGAATATATAGGAGGATGGGTGTAGGTTACATGCCATTTGATACAACGGACATGAGCATTTGTAGATTTTGTATCCGTGGGCTGTCCTGGAACACATTGCCTGCAGACCCAGGGCCAGCTGTGCTGGTTTAGGTGGGGTCCTCAAAGAGAGGTTTAGCGTCTCTATTAGCAGGCGAGCCCCAGAGCCTGTGACTACACCCCCCACCCCAGCTCTCCAGCACTGGGTATTGCCTTCCTAGAAGTCCTTGTCTCTGTGAAAACATGAATCGTGACTACCCAGAATGACATCCCCACTTCTCCCGATCTTGCCTGCACCTGTGACGCCTCCCGCTGTTCTGTCTGCAGGTGGAGAAGCGCCTGGAGCTGGTGAAGCAAGTGTCCCATAGCACACACAAGAAGCTCACGGCCTGTCTGCAGGGCCAACAGGGGGCCGAGGCGGACAAGCGCTCTGTAAGTGCCTTCTGCTGAGCCCCCCCACCCCGGCAGCTTAAAACTTGCCTCCTGAAGGCAAGGGTTCCACTCCTGGGGCCTCATTTCTTGTGGCTATTAGTGAAGCCCTATGTGTGTCTGTGAATCAGCCAAGCACACCTAGCTTCTTGTTTCTGTAGAGTGAGGACCTTTCCCACAGTTCTAGATCCTTAGCCCTGGGTTAAAGTATTGCTCATTCCTCATGCAAGGTGAGGTCCCTCTCATCCTCCCCCAGGGTATGACCACCAGGAGAATGGCATGGGCATGCTTAAAATCCCACCTGCAGGGAAACTTTATCCTTGATGGACATCTTTCCCCTGAGTCAGCTCATTCCCAGAGTCCATTAGCTTCAGTAGTATCTTATGATTGCATAAGAAAAATTATACCATGGTTTCAGAGGTTACAAGTGACCTATAAAGGCCCTTGGAAATGGTTTTCACTGTAATGAGACAATAAAGAGAGTCTGCTAAATAAAGCTACTCTAACGTCTTTGTTTATAACCTACATCGGTAATAACAGGCGTTGTGTGATGTTCAATTTCACAGTCTTTGCTGTAAACCATCTTTACAGTCTCACTTCCCTCTTGACCCTAACTCCCTCGCTTCCACTGAAAAAGATATTCTTAGACATTCACTCGGTTTTATTAGGAGAGATTTTGCAAGCTAGGAGGACCTTTTCTCCTGCCTTGAGTATACAGTCTACATGTTTTGTGTCTGTTGGATTTATTTATTTTTTGACGTGAAGTTATTGTTGACTTCTGCCTGAGCTGATGTCAATCTCATCTCTGTTGACAGTTGTGTAAAGCACCCTATGCTTTCTCCTGTCTCCTGTTGAAGTGCAAACACTGTTCTGTTAACTTTATCAGTCATTTCTTTTTCTCACTCCAGCCTTGGTTTCTTCTTTCTTAATAACACAGGTGAGCATCTCTTATCCAAAATGCTTGATCCAGAAATGTTTTGGAGTTCAGATATTTTTTTTTCTTTTTGGTACTGGGAAGTAAATCCAGGGATGCTCAACCACTGAGCACATACCCAGCCCTTTTTTGTATTTTATTTAGAGACCTGGCTATATTGCTGAAGCTGGCTTAGAACTTTTGATCCTCCTGCCTCGGCCTCCAGAGCCGATGGGATTATAGGCATGTGCCACCGTGCTCAGCCTGGATTTCAGATTTTTCAATATTTGCGTGTACATGATGAGTTTTTTTTGGGATGGGATACAAGTCTGAACACAGAATTCTTAGCATGGGGACCTGTGGCAGTTGTTGGCAGGTCCTGAAGCTTGCAGCCATGTGTGTGCAGTTGAGCCTGCAAACTGGAGACCTATTTAGTTGACCTGGAAGAGGTTTGCAGTGGAAGGAGGTGCCCAAGCATGCAGAGATCAGGGATTTTACTGTACAGATTTTAACTGATCTTGTCAGCGATATCTTGGGCTGATCAGTCTTTATCATCATATGACTGAGTAAATGTTCTGAAAGTTAAAGAGCCATGTAAAGTTTAAAATGTTATTTTTAAAGTTAAAAGTATTTAACAGTCATAAAAAATTCCAAATCCTGACTCAATTTTTTTTTTAAGTTTTTTTTTCCCTAAAGCAGAAGATTTAATAGGAAACACAACACTTACGAATTGCCTCAAATATTGGAATATGAGCTCAGTTCTTTGCGATGGTTAGGTAGGGAACTGTGTCAGGATCTAAGGAATAGGGGAAAAGGAAGAAGGATAAAAAGACGGAAAATAAATGAATATATAAAAGGGATCAGTTAAAGGGCAGGGGGAGAAATGAATGACCAAATACTGGTCAGGGAAGTGGGGTGTTAAGCACGGTTCAGGAGATGGGCAGTCACCCCCTGCCAGCTGACGTGAGCAGGGGTCAGCGCCTCTCATTCCTACAGTAGTCACAGCATCTTGGGATTAGAAGGAGTAGATATCCATGCAGTCCTGTGCTTACTGGGATGCATATGAATCATTGCTTCCAGTTATTTCTCTTTTAACAAGCTCATTCATTCTTCAATAGTTTAGTTATAATGTCCAACACTTAAACTTTTATTATATACAGCTTTAGAAGTTTGGTGCTAAAAGTTATGGCTAGTTGCCGGATGGGAATGGGCACTTTTTCCTGTCACTCTCTCAGTGACCATAAAGAGCATCATCCTTCTGTGGATATCGAGTTAGACCAGATTCCCTATGTAGGATGGAGAAGAGAAAGGATACGAATGAGGCTTCCATTTTGCCTCACTTAATCCAAGCTAATAATTAGTTAGTTTATAGGTTCTTAAGATTGCCAGCATAATGATGATGTTTTAAGTCCTTGCATGTCTTACAAGGAGGTCATGTCCAATAATCTGCTAGCATGTGCAAGTGTTTCTCCGCCTTACTGAGCGAATCTCAGAAAGTAGCTGTGTCATATATTCAGGTCGGCGCTTCATGCTAGGAAGAGGAGCTCACTGGGAATACAGTCGTATTTTTCCACCAGCAAGTGGCTGTTCGGAACAAGCGAAGGATGGCAACACTTTTAAAAAGGGTATAAGTGCTTCCAGGAGAGGTCCAGTGTGTCCTGAGTCCCCAGAGACAGTAAGGAATCTGACTTTTTTTTTTTTCCCCCTTTGTAGTACTGGGGATTTAACCACTGAGCTATAGCCCCAGATGTTTTTAGTTCTTGCTAAGTGGCCCAGGCTGGCCCCCAACTTGCAGTCGTCCTGCTTCAGTTTCCCATCACTGAGGCCACCCCATCTGGCAGGAGTATGATGTTCTCGAGAAACATAAAAGGTAGCCAAAGCAACCAGATCATAAGAGGAGGAAAGGGGCATGAGATGGGACCACAGGGGACCGGATCATGCCTTCTAGGCCATGGTGGGGATTTGGACGAAATGCCTAAGATCGGTGGAAAGCCAAGGTTTTATGAGGGAGTGATATGATCAGATTCATAGATGATTCTGTGAGCAATGAATGAGTGGGGAGGGGACCGTGGCAGATGGTAGAGCCAGTTAGACAAATATGGGACAGATCTAGGTGAAAGCAGTGGGGACAGGGAAGATGGAGAGAGAGATCAGCTTACCTGCTAGGTGCTGGAGGTAGAATACCCAGACCTGGTAATTGAGTGGGTATGGGGTACGACAAGAGAGCAAGGGGTTCATGTGCTTTGGCCTGAGTGACTGGTGAATCCATGAAGTTGAGGTCACCCATCAGGGAAAACAGGGGAAGAGGACAAATGGCCTTTGAATCGAGATCCCCAGGAAGGGTGGCATTTCAAGCTCTACCAGAAGGATCTAGCAAAAGTCTGCCCACTTGCTCAGACCTGAGTCCCCCACATGACTCTTTACTCTTCTCTCTTTCTATCTCATAGTCAGACTTCCAGTAAATCCTGCTGACCCTTCTTCCAAAGAATTTCTGTTTCCTTTTAGCATATGCCACCCTTTTCTGGGCAGCTGTCATTATACAGCAGTTCCTTCTGGGTTTTCCAGATATAGGATGTTCCATCCTCTATATCAGCCCATGAGTATTTAAAATGGAAATCAAATCCTATCGCTCTCTTGCCTAAATCCCACCAAAGGATTCCCACTGTAGAATAAAATCTGAACTCCTTTCTAGTTTTACGTCTTTTACCTGCGTCCCTGAAGCTCAGCTCTTACTCTCTTCCCTGTCAGTCATCCTTCTCTTGCTGTGTTGATATGTTACCGAACCCACTGAGCTGCGTCCCTCTTGGAGCCTTTGTGCTTGCTCTAGTCTTGATGGAATGCTCTGACCCACAAGTTCAGGCAAGCAACTTTGTATTGTTCAGTTCTCTGCTCAAATGTTACCTGCCGCAGTCCGGCTGCAGCAAAATAAGGGGGGGGGAGGGGGGGAGGGGTGACGAGGAACTTGTGTAGATTGATACAGCAGGAGTGGGAGCCGTTTATTGCAGGACAGGAGCAGTATGTATACATTCCACAGAGCTTATCTAATTAGCATAAACTAGATACATCAGTCAACCAATAAGGAATCTCCACACTTAATGGCTCGCTTTTGTTACTTCTCAAACCACTCCCTCTGGCATTTTGCCAGGCACCATCCAGACTTGTTTACGAACTTTAACATTCCCCTGGCAAAATGCCAGGTGTTATTTTGACTTGTTTACACACTCTAACAGTCACCTTCTCAGCAATGCTTTTCCCAGCCATCTAATGCACCGGCTCCTTCCCTTCCCTCCATCCCACCACCCAACATGATTATTTTCTTCATAGCACAAATTAGCATCTGAAATCGCTGTGATCAGGAATTTCTGTCACTGATGTGTGAGCTCCATGGCAGCAGAGATCCGGATGTCTCTCTATTAGCTGTATCCTCAGTGCCTAAAACAGAGCCTACCCACTGGTAGGCAGTGATAAAAAACATATCTGTGCCATAAATGGATGACCTATGAGTCATTTAGACACAGAACCTGCCTAACAGGCTGCCTGACCAATTTGAACCCTTCCTATTCTGTAACAGACCATTTAGCAGGACAGCTCTGAGGTGAACTTTGGATCTGGCCACCCAAGGGCGAAGCTCAGCTCTGTACTGCTTCCTAATTTTGCCTGACCTTGAACAAGTTAATTACTTCATAAGCTTTGGTTTCTTCATTTCAAAAATGGTAATAACAACGGTGATTTCCTGCCCAGTAGGGCTGTTTGACAGATCAGGAGGCAGTGCCTACAATTGCCTGGCACAGTGCTTAAGTGGATATTAAAGAGATACAAGGTGCTGGTTGCTGTTGGTACTGCCCACTGTTAGGCTCAGATGGCCATGGAGAACTACTGAGCCTTGAGCAACTGTCCTGGGCTATGTCTTTTGGGGGCTAAATCATAAGTGCTTGTTGCCTGGATTTAAAATTTGAGGACAATTGAAAGTAGTTTTTGGAGATAAAGTTTGAGAGAGGGTGTGTGGGGAACCGAGCAGATACCAGAATGACACGTTTTGCTTACATCATCCTTCAAAGCATTGCTTATGCCCAAGGTAATGTTCAAGAGAATAGTCATCTCAGACTTGTCAGACTAATACATTCAAACTTGAGACAGTCTGTCTTTCCTTCTCTTATTTTTAAAGTTCTATTCGAACTCTAGAGGCAGGGGAAAAGCTATTTTTAGTACCTTCTCTTTGATCCTGAAAAATCACTGGCCAGCATGAAGTTTGCTAAGATGTTCAGTAATATTCACCGAGGATTGGCAGCAGCTATTTCAGGGTGGACCCTTGGCAGCAGGGGTAGACAGATTCCAGCAGCTCTTGTAGATATTGGGGTAGTTTTTCACCCTTTGAAGACTGGATGTCCTTCTTTCATGAAGTGGGGTGTGGGAACAAAGGAAGAAGAGAGAGAAATAATACCTCAGAGCTGGGCAGTCAGTGGGTTACATAGGAATGCTGCTTTGTCTGGCTTCTCCTGAGCCCTCTATTGACTCTTGTGGACTTTCAGAAACAGAAATCATTCGTACTTTATCGGGGTTTATAGTCCATTAACATCTTATCTCCTGCCTCTGATTATGGATGGCCCTCTCCCTTGTCATAAAGATACATCATCATCTGTTTCTTTCTTTGGTCATTTGGTGGTGCCTTTCCAATCTCCTATTATTAAAACATGTATACTAATAAAAACTCTATGTGATTTCTGCTGAGTTTTACCCACTTGACCCTGCTTCTCCCACCCTGGGAATGGACTTCACACCCTCTAAATTTACCTCACACATCTCTCCTAGAGGCAGTTACACCATTGGTAGAGGAGTAAATACGTTGTCATCTTCATTCAGTGATCTGTGTAGCCATTAAAGCACATAAACAAAAGAGCGAGACAGCTCTATATGTGACAATAGGAATGATATGAAGATACCTTTGTGTGAAAAGGGAGCCCGGGCACAGAGGGGTATACCTAGTTAGGCTAACCTTTGTGGGGGAAAATACCCAATAAAAATGGATATACAAACACACACACACACACACACACACACACAATTGGATCTTCTTAGAATATTGGTGGAAGGATACATAAAAGTCTGGTCCCTGTCATGCTATCTGGTGAAGGTGGATTATCTGATAAGAACAACTCAGAGGAGGGAAAGTGTTTTGGCTCATGGTTTCAGAGGTTCAGACCATGGTTGGCCAAATCCAGTGCTCTGGACCTGAGAGGAGTTAGAGCAAAGGGGATGATGGAGTAAAGCTGCTCAGTTCAAACCAGGTAGCAGAGAGAGAGAGAGGGAAGAGAAGGGGCTTCAGGGAGGATGAACCCCTCTAGGGCGCACCCCCAGTGACCCACCTCTTCTAGCGGCACCCACCTGCCTGCGGTTACCACCCATTGAGTGCATTTAGATTTCAGCTCTCATAATCAATTCACTTCACTTCCTGCAGGAACCCAGGAACCTTTGGAGGATATCTCATATGCAAACCATAATACATACGCATCTGTTTCCTACTCGGAAATTCATTTATTTGGTATGGATAGATAAGTAGATAAGATAGAGAAAGAGAAATGTTATTCTCTTTGTTTGTTAAAATCTTGAGAATTAAAAGCGGTTGGAATAGAAAGAATTTCGTAGTACTTTGTCACTTAATGCTCTCCTCTTTGTCACATAAGAGCATCAAACGTCAGTGTGAGTGTTGAGTGACTAGAAGTAAGGTCACTTTCAAACGTTTTTGGTCTGAATTTTGTATGATTGACACTTCACCTGTTTGTTCTCTTGTTGTTGACCCTCCAGGGCTCTGATCCACTTTAGGGTCCTTCATGATCCACTTTAGGGTCCTTCTGGGGCTGTTCTTGTTCTGTTGATATTGACCTTCACACTTTAGTCACCTGTCACAGGCACAGTTTTCTGCTTAGCTCAGACTGGACCAATTAGACTAGTCTTTTTCCATATTTGAAAAAGCCCTACTCACCTCCTGGGGTATTTCTCCGAAGGACGTCTGTCCTAGGCTATCTGAAGTCCTCTTACTCCGTGATAGCCACAGTCCTCCTTACTTCTTTGTCAGAATTTGAAGACATTCTGGAAACCAGAAGTCTTACCTTGAAGGCAGGTCATGGGGCTGTGAACATTCATCTCAAATCAAAATGGCCTTTATGTGACTGACCGATGTCCTGAATATACATACTGACATTCTGGTGGAGCATCTTCATTGATTTTTGGGATATTTGAGGAACTTGCAAATTACACCAGGTTTCTCAGCCTTGGCACTCTTGAAACTCTGAGCCTAGTAATTCTTTGCTGTGCATCGTGGGATGGTCTCTACCCACCTGATGCCAATAGCATCTCTCACATTGTGACAACTAACCATGTCTCCAGATACAGAAAGTAGAGCAAGAACAAAGCTCAGCATGTTCAGTAACACGTCGGCACAGTTGAGGAGTGATGACTGACAGGGAAGGAGGCCCATAGAGATGCAGGTAAAAGATGGACGTCCCTAGGACCAGATCACCCGGGTTGAGAATCATACTTTAATCTGTGCCCTCTCCATGACCCCTTATTGGAATATTAAGCCTGCTTTTGTTAAAAACACATTTTATTTATCTACACTTTTATACCATACTTTTGTGACCAGAAATATTGGGAGGGTTTTCCCATGCCACGTAATTCTTCTACTCTGAATCCTAGCTGGATGTGAACCCTAGCTGGTTGTCCTACAATTCAGTTCAATTCGGACACACTCACCTGGAGTATCTGTCACATCCCACAAGTGCAGGGCTCAGTCCCACAAAACGGCTTCCTCCCCCTCACCTTAGATGCCAGGTGTGAACCCTGGCCTCTGGCATTGGTGATCGACCCTTCATAAGTTGAGGTTTCCGTGACCCCTCCTCGGTTTGTATCGCATGCTGGAATGGCTCACAGGACTTGTATCAGTCAGCTTATTATAAATGGTATCATGAAGGGAACAGGTGAGCAGCCAGATGAAGAGATGCAGATGTTTATTCCCTGTCTTCCCCACTAGGAAGCTTCCACGAGAGCAGTGTCTAGCTTGGCTCACTGCTGGTGTGGTGTGTGCCTACCTTCCATATAGCAGCTCCCTAGGAATGACACCAGGAAGGTCTGGGCTGGACATTGTGTGGCACTTTCCATTTGAAGGATGGTCCATATGGCCCCAAAGAGTGGAAAATGCAAGGTGCAAGGATATGCCAACAGTCCCGACCTTGTTGATTTTCTTGTGCTGTCTACCTGCATGTACTTTTGTGCTGGTTGGTCTTGGCTCCGTAAGGAGAGGGCTTTTTTTTTTTTGAAGGAGGGTTTTTCAAACCCAGCGGGTGCTTAACTACTGAGCCACATCCCCAGCCCTTTTTATTTTTTATTTAAAGACAGGGTCTCCTGGCTGAGTTGCTTAGGTCCTCACTAAGTTGCCAAGGCTGGCCTTGAACTTGTGATCCTCCTGCCTCAGTTTCCTGAGCCTTTGGGATTGCAGGTGTGAGCTACCATGCCCATCAAGAGAGGGCTTTTGACATTTAGAAAGGGGTGGGCCATGACACAGTTTTTTAGTAGTGTGCCTTTCCCTTCCCATAACATAAAATTTACCCTTGTAGCTAGGTGTGGTGGTACAGGCCTGTAATCCTGGTAGCTTGGGAGGCTGAGGCAGAAGGATTGTAGCTTCAAAGCCAGCCTCAGCAACTCAGTGAGACCTTGTCTCTAGATAAAATATTTCAAAACGGGCTGGGGATATGGCCCAGTGGTAAATCCCTTGAGTTTATCCCCAATACCTAATAATAATAATAATAACAACAACAACAACCACCAAATAATAATAATAATACTCAAATGATAATAATAACCAAATAATAATAACAACAACAGCATTGTAAAGTGTTCAGTGATCTTAACAATTGTATACACACACCCTAGTTGCAGATCATTCTCATCACTCCAAAAGGAAACCCTGTACCCTTCCCTTCCAGCCCTTGGTAACCATGAATCTACTTTTTGTCTATATTAATAGACTTACCATGGATATTTCATATAAATGGGATCATACAATGTGTCTTGTGTCTGGCATATATCACTTAGCATGAGATTTTTCTTCAGGGCCATCTATATTGTAGCATGTGTCAGGACTTTGTTCCTTTTATAGCTGAAGAATATTCCACGGTTTGAATAGACCACATTTTGTTATTCATTCCTCCATCTGTAGATGTTTGCATTGTTTCCACTTTTTGTCTGTTATAAAAAATGCTGCTGTTCACATATTTTGTTTGTATGTCTGTTTTCATGTATTTGGGGAGTGTATCCAGGAGTGGAACTGCTAGGCCACAGGGCAATGTGGTCCAGCTTATCGAGATACTACTAAGTTTTTCCACAGTGCCGTACCATTTTATATTTCCACGAGCCACACGTTTCTGCATATGTTCACCAATGCTTATTGTCTGTTTTTAAAATACATTAATATTGTTACATCCATGGTATCTCATGGTGACCTCAGTTGTACTTCCCTAGTGGCTGATGAGGTTAAGCTGCTTTTTCTGTGCTAGCTGGCCACTTGCATATTGTCTGTGGAGAGTACCTTTATTTTGACTTTCTTTACATTGTAATTGTATGTGAACAGTTTTCTCTCTTCATTGAAATCTGCTTTGTTTGTGAAGTGGGGCTGATAGACTGAGAAAGAATTTGAGTGTTGGAAAGTAATGCCTTGCTCAAGTCTTGGTTAACTTTGAGATGCTCTCCTTTTTTCCTGCTTGCTATTGTATTTCATTCTACAATGTAGTGTCTAAACCTTAGGCTTATTTTCCAAAGTGATACCTTTGATTCAGTTTTAGTTTTCTGAATTTTGAGACCTCTTAGTGCATCCCATCATCATGTGCTCTGTTTTAGGTGTAAACATATTTTAAAGTCAGTCTGTTTCTTAGCTCACATGAAGTCTGACATAAAGTACCTGACTTCTTGCCATTGTAGAGTACCAGTGGGTGACCACTAGAAATAATTCTCATGATGCTCTTTGTTTCCTTTACAGAAAAAGTTGCCTTTGACAACACTGGCTCAGTGTTTGATGGAAGGGTCAGCTATCCTGGGAGATGACACACTTCTTGGGTAAGGTACCACCCCTGTGTGGGTTTGTGCCAATTCTGGGTAAGTCCCCATCGTAACAAAGGGGACTAGAAATCCTCAGGAACCACGGAGCACACCTGAACTCCAGCCAGGGACTTGCATGGGAAAGGAGAAAGTATTACCATGGAGAAATCAAAATCCTCTCACCTGGAGAGTCATAGTGTTGGTGCAGTGAGGCAAGTCTTGGTTGAGAAATTAATATAACACAGGTGAAGCACAGTTAAAACCCCCAGGCCTTCAATCCAAGCAAGCAGCCACCTCTCAGTGTCTGATGTCAGAACTTAGCGCATCCCCCAGGAGAAGAAGCCTTGCTGGTGGTGAGCTCATGGTAAAGCACACTAAAAATAGTCTCCCCAGAGAGCACCACAGATTCTCCTACAGTCAGCACCGTCAGTACCCTAAGGACCTAAGGTAACATGACAGTATGGAATAAAGTGTAAAATAATGACTTAACGTGAAATTCCACATCAGCGAAAGGCAAGGAAGATCCTTGATGAAAGAGTCAAATACTAGAAGGGAAGAAAAAAAAAAAAAAAAGAATGGGTGGAATTGAATAAAAACCAAGGAATGGATGTCTTAAAATCAAAGTTATTTATGCTGATATTCTTAAAACTTGGTTGAAATTAACGGGAGGTGTCACAAACTGGTTGAGCTTGGAGACAGATCTGAAGCTGACAGCGAGCAGGGGCACAGTGAAGGACAGGAGGTAGAGAACAGGCATAATTAGACGGAGAAGCGTGGGGGAGGGGAATGCACCAGCAGGGCACTGGGTGTGTAAGGAGTTCCTGGAGAACAAGTGTGGAGGAGGAGGAAGTTTGCAGTTGATTTTTTTCTTTTCTAGATCAAAAGGAAAACACAGGATTTAAAGAGCACCAAAAAGTCCCAGTTGAGATCACTAAAAAGAAATTCACCCCTGGGCATAGGGTAGTAAAACTCCAGGTTATAAACAAAACAGAGAAATTTACAAATCAGTCAGAGAAAGAAGATCGTGACACGTAAAAGAGCAGATAAACTGATAACAAACTATTCCTCAGCCAAAATTAATGCCAAGAGCTAATGGAGGAATATCTCCAGTAGTGAGGAAAAATACAAGAAACCTAGAATTTTGCGATATCGTTATTCAAGGCACTAGGGAATGAGACTGAGAAAATGACGTTACATGCGTGTGCAAATACGGCGTGATGAACCCCCCTAGTCTATATAATTACAATGCACCAATCAAAACTTAATAACAAAATGCTTTTATTTTTTAATTTTTATTATTAGTTGTTCAAAACATTACAAAGCTCTTGACATATCATATTTCATACATTTGATTCAAGTGGGTTATAAACTCCCATTTTTACCCCGTATACAGATTGCAGAATCACATAGGTTACATATCCACGTTTTTACATACTGCCCTACTCGTGTCTGTTGTATTCTGCTGCCTTTCCTATCCTCTACTATCCCCCCTCCCCTCCCCTCCCCTCCCATCTTCTCTCTCTACCCCATCTACTGTAATTCGTTTCTCTCCCTTGTTTTTTTTTCCTTTTCCCCTCACTCCCTCTTATATAGTACATGAAAAAATGCTCACCATCTCTAGCAGTCAGAGAAATGCAAATCAAAACCACCCTAAGATACCATCTCACTCCAGTAAGATTGGCAGCCATTAGGAAGTCAAACAACAACAAGTGCTGGCGAGGATGTGGGGAAAAGGGTACACTTGTACATTGCTGGTGGGACTGCAAGTGGGTGGGCCAATTTGGAAAGCAGTATGGAGATTTCTGGGAAAGCTGGGAATGGAACCACCATTTGACCCAGCTATTCCCCTTCTCGGACTATTCCCTGAAGACCTTAAAAGAGCATACTATAGGGATACTGCTACATCGATGTTCATAGCAGCACAATTCACAATAGCTAGAATGTGGAACCAACCTAGATGCCCTTCAATAGATGAATGGATTAAAAAAATGTGGCATTTATACACAATGGAGTATTACTCTTCACTAAAAAATGACAAAATCATGGCATTTGCAGGGAAATGGATGGCATTAGAGCAGATTATGCTAAGTGAAGCTAGCCAATCCCTAAAAAACAAATGCCAAATGTCTTCTTTGATATAAGGAGAGTAACTAAGAACAGAGTAGGGACAAAGAGCATGAGAAGAAGATTAACATTAAACAGGGATGAGAGGTGGGAGGGAAAGGGAGAGAGACCCTTTGGAAATGGAAGGAGACCCTCATTGTTATACAAAATGCTTTTAAAAAACAAGGGAAAAGTAAAGATATTTTCAGTCAAGGATTTACGACTTGCATAGTTCAATCACTTTACTACTTGTGTATTTTCATGGTGTAAGTTAAGGCTTTATCAAATAGATTATGTACAGAGGAAAGTTGGGAGTGCAAATAACAAAGTATAATTTAAAACTAGGAAAGGGGACAATTTCTTTTTCCCTCCAACTATTTGAGTTTCTTTGGCTGAGGTTCTGCAAATTGGGTTGTCCAAAGACAGATCCATGACAGAAGAGCATATACCTTTCATCAATATTGTTACAGGCATCCTAGGTCCAGGGGTCCCAACTAAGTGGGTCTAGCCATTCCTCCTAGAAAACGAAGGGGAAAAGGTCATGGTGAAAGTAGGAACGGAAACTAACCAATATGGCCCTGTTGGGAAGGCAACGTGAGATCCAGCGTCTCAGTGCTGTCCTTGCTGTCTTTGGGTAGTCGACAGGAGCTTTGAGTTCTTTTCCCTTGAGGGGGCAGTTTTCACGGGCTCAGGATGCTGGTTTATCAGACCTGTGATCGGGATGGGGGCGATGACTGGGGACTTTTAGGCATCAGTTCAGGGTGCCTAGAAGCGTGCTGCAAATCTTGTCTCAGTCTTCAAGGGGAATGAGACAGATTAGGTAAACTTAGGGCTAATAAACCTTGTAGTGCTACTTTTTTAGATGAGCACTTCTTACGTGATGAACATGTAGATTACATGCAGAGCTGGGGAGGGTCATGACCCAAAGATAAAGTAAGAAAAGAGACACATACAAAATCAAGGCAGAGATGCCCAGCTTTGCCCTGCTTTGATCACTCGTAGGGCATCTGTGTGCCTAGGAGTCAGTACTTTTAGCCAAGGCATCTTTTCTAAGTCCCTGTGGTGATATGTGTAGCACATACACATGGGAGAACGCAGTGATGAGTAACAGAGGAGTGATTGGAACGTGGGCTCACACAGCATCTTCACAGAAGAACAGTCATTTTTGGAGAGATGACAAGACAAAGGAAAAGGAGTTTCCTGGATGAAAGACCTGTAGGAAGATAAATCTATGGGGAACTAATGGAGTATAAGGACTAGTTAATTGGTGATGCCTTGTGGTTTTCTCCGGCTCCATCTTGGGGCTAATTAGGGCCTAAAGTTGTGATTAACTTCTGTTGTTTCTGGTAGAGAGATAGGTTTGTCAGTTTTCTGTCACTGTGACAAAATACCTGAGACAATCCATTTAAGAGGATGACAGAATTATTTTGGTTTATGGTTTTAGATGTTTCTGTACATGGTTAGCTGGCTCCATTGCTTTTGGGCCTGTGATGAGACAGAACATCATGGTGGGGGAGAACATGGCTGAGCAAAGCTACTTACCTCAGGATGGCCAGGAAGAGAGAGAAGAGACTGGGATCTCAACATTCCCTTCAAGAGCATGCCTGGATGTGGTGGCACACATTCCTGTAATCCCAGAAGCTCTGGAGGCTGAGGCAGGAGGATGACATGTCAAAGCTAGCCTCAGGAATTTAGTAAGGCCCTAAGCAACTTAGAAAGACCCCGTGTCCAAAAAAAAGATAGAAAGAAAGAAAAAGGAAACAAGTGTTAGGATGTGGCTCTGTGGTTAAGCACCCCGGACCCAGGTTCAATTTCTGGCACCCCCCCCCAAAAAAAAAAAGCTTGCTCCCAGGGACCTGACTGCTTCTGATTAGGTTCCACCTCTTAGTTTCTACCACCTTCCAATAGTGCCACAGGGTGGTGACCAAACCTTTAACACGTGGACCTTTGAGGGCCATTTAAGACTCAAACCGTAATAATAAGGAAGGGGACAAGCACGCTTTTGTATGTTTCTGTTCCACTTTAGGCAAATAGAGGGAGGCAGAAAGCTCTTTTTAAAAAAAAAATGCTGCTTTTCAGTTGCATTCAGCTCAAAATAATCTTATGCCAAAGAGGTGTACTTGGGTGGGGGGTGGGGGTGGCTTACTCTGTTGCCTTTAATATAAAGAAAATAAGCATTGAATCAAAACCCAGGAATGTTAAGGTGATTAATTCAGGGGGGTAGATGATAAGCAAAGTAAGACTAAAGTACTAGATAATAATAACTTGAAACTCATCAGAGGGGGAGTCTGTATTACCAGATCTTACGTTGTTTAAAAGAAGACATGAGCCTGGGATTGTGGCTCCGTGGCAGAGCACTTGCCCAGCACGTGTGAGGCCCTGGGTTTGATCCTCAGCGCCACATATAAATAAATAAAAAATAAAGGTCCATCGACAACTAAAAAATATTTTAAAAAAGAAAAGACAAAAAGAAGAGTAGAATGTATAGCTTCCAAACTAGTAGAAAGATGAAAAAGGATATAAATTGGAGGAAAAAGAAAACCCACAACAAAAACTATTAGAGGAATTAAAAGAGAAGTAAGTAAGTGAAGGAAAGCACGATACATAAAAAACAGAGAATAACGGTGATAGTAGTTGCGTTGTGCATGCTGTAGTCATCACGGATAGACACAAAATAAACATGAAATCCTATTACGTGATGTTCCCAAGAGGCTTTTCGAGGACACAATGATGGAACAAGGTTGGAAGTAAAGATCAGCGACTGAACACACATCCGATGTTATTTCCTTCCAATAAACTATAATAAAGAGTTGTATATTTTTTTTCCTTAAAAGATATAAAACTACTGGGTGCAGTGCCTCACATCTGTAATCCAAGCTACTTGGACGATGGAGGCAGGAGGATTGCAAGTTTAAGACCAGCCTGGGCAACTTAGCAAGACCCTGTCTCAAAATAAAAAAATAAAAGGGGCCCGGGATGTGGCTCAGTGGTAGAGCACCCTGGGTTCAATCTGCATGCAATATCACGCATAGAACACACATGCAAAAGCCCCCTAGCCACAGACCAAGCATGGTGACGCACGCCTGTAATCCCAGCAGCTTGTGAGGTTGTGGCAGGAGGATTGCGAGTTCAAAGCCAGCCTCAGCCATTTAGCAAGGCCCTGTCTCTAAATAAAAAAGAAAAAGGATTTATTTTTATTTCATTTTATAGGATTTTATTTTTATTGAGGATGTGGCTCAGTCGTTGGGTGTTCCTGGGTTTCATCACTAGTACCTCACACACAGTGCACATGCAAATGATCTAACCACAGTGGTAAGGAAAACAAGAGAAAGTTTATCAGCAACGTAACTTTGTGAGCTGTGAAGATCACGAACAGTGAGGTAGTGCTAGGGATGTAGCTCAGTTGTAGAGTGGTGCCTGGCCTGCAGGAGGTCTTGGGCTCGGTCCCCGTCACCACCCCCTTTTCACTCCTACGAACGTCTGGTTCAGAAAACTGACCCCCAAGCCTAAAGTAGTATGAAGATATCTGACATAATATACACCAGGAAATGCTGATGGTGCTTAGGGATTGGTGGTACTGGGGACATTTGGTCTTTGAGGGTGGAGTGGGTGAGTTAGGATAATGAATGCATGGGGGGTGCTTTTTAAGTGCCGTGTGATCACTGAAACCCTGCCCTCTGCACACCTCCTGGAAATATCTCTTCCCCCAGACAGTAACATCTGCAGGTTTACTGTTTCTTGGCAGTGAAAGGAAACATCACTGGATCTTGCTCGAAAGATGCTGAGAGACTCCTCCATGCTTACTCCCCTCTTACCAGGCCCCAGGCTTTATCCTCCAGGCAAGAAATTAGAGAGGCATTCTCTAGGAATCTGAGCAGCCCCAAAAGAAGGATCTGAAGCTTTCAGGACAGTGATGGAGGCAGTGCCCCAGTTAATGGCAGACCAAATCATCCTTCAGGCAAGCTCACAGCCCACAAGTTTTCCTCCCTTACGCCGAATGTGTTCTATGTTCGTCTCCACCTAGAATCTAAGCAGCCACCAGAGATTCCCAGATGTGTGAGGAAAGTCTTGAACCTGAATCCTGGAGACCAAAATAGTCAGGGTGGGGGAAATGCCATTTGGATGAAATAGAGATTGTGTGGGGGAGGAGAAGATTTCAAGGCTATTATCACTTACGATTTCAAGGGGTAAAAGAAGATGGTATATATCCATGGATTAAAAACAGGATATTAGTACAAGAAGTTTATAGGGAAGAAACATGCAGAGATCAAAAACAAGCTCATAGAAATGAGGAAAAAGATGAGAGCAGATGTGAAACTCTCAGTAGAAGGTTTGACGATAAATTGGAGGAAATTTACCCAGAAAATCAAGCAAGAAAACAAAGACACAGCAAATAGAAAACGTTGGAAAATTAGAGGACCAATTCAGGAAGACTTTGCCTGAATAACAGGAGTTCTTAGAAAAGTCAAGAATGAAATGATATTAAAAGTTATTATTATAGGGGCTGGGGATATAGCTCAGTTGGTAGAGTGCTTGCCTCACATGCACAAGGTCCTGGGTTCAATCCCCAATCCCACAAAACAAACAAACAAAAAGTTATTATTACAAAAATAATTCCAAAGCATTTTCCAGACTTGAAGTTCCTGTATTTCTATATTGAAAAGGCCCATTGAACACCCAATATAATGGGAAAAAATTAAACCTACGCCGAGACTCACAGTTATGAATACAGGTGACAGAAGATTTTATTCCCGCTAGGAAAAAAAAGAATTGTGAATACTTCTCGATTCACAATGAATCTAGAAGATTATTAAGAAGAGCCCTCAGAATTCTGAAGGAAACACTGCTCAGCCTCAAATGCAATATCCTGCCCTAGTATCAATCTGTGTGAGGGCAGAGGACAATATTGTGATACATGGGATCTGAAGACTTGGCTTCCTGCATACTCTTTGTTCTCAGGGAACGAAGGCATCATGAAGATGTAACCAAGAAAGACGTAGACATAAGATGACGGAACATCCAGCACAGGACACAGGGACAGAGAACCCTAGGAAATGCTGAAGGAAGATGTCAGGATGATAACTATACCCTAGGGATAGGGAGAGAAGCCAAGAGAACTTGGTCAGGCCGTACAGTCCAGGAGACAGGAATTCAAGAAGACAGAATTCCGTCACGTCAGAGGTGGTTCACTATCTTAAGAGACAAATTAGGAAAGTGTCAGGGATGTCAGGCTTAACATGTACACAGAAAATGAAACAAGCAAACTGAAACAAGGAATTATTCACTCCAGGGAGAGCAGATAAATGGGCAGGAAGGACCAGTAATCATAGTATGGTACTCAGCTCAACCACCCCAAACAGGCTGAGTAGCCCTATGTGAAATGCTTGGGAACAAGTTTTTCTGACTTGGGATTTTATCAGGAATTTGGAATATTTGCATAGTCCAGTTAAAACATCTCTAATCTGAAAACTCTAAATCCAAAATGCTCTAAAGTCCAAAACTCTGAAAACTGCAGGTTTTTTGATTAGGAATCATACCCTGTAATATAGTCAAAATATAAATACTGAATATGTACTGATATAAATATTAATGGAGGGAGGGTAAATGTAATCAAAGATAAAGTCTTATTTTTCATAGTTGATGGTCAGTAGCTTTAGGACAGGGCTTTAGCTTAAGATTTTAAAAAATTAAGAAGTAAGCTGGGTTTGGCGGTGCAAGCCTATCATTCCCAGTGGCTCTGGAGTCTGGGGCAGGAGGATCAGAAGGTCAAAGCTAGCCTCAGCAATTTAGCCAGGCCCTATGCAAGACCCTGTCTCAAAATAAAAAATTAAAAGGGTTAGGGATGTGACTTAGTGGTTAAGCACCTCTGGTTCAATCCCTGGTACTTAAAAAAATCAATAAGTAATATTAGACATATAGGGGTAAGGACCAGAAAATCAGATAAAAGACACCATTAAAAAGTTACAAAGATAAAACCATAATCTGGGAGTTGACATTTGCATCAGAAAAGGTGTTAGAATCTCATCTACATTCACCAACTTACATGCAAGTGTCTAAAGAATTTCTAGCCAGGCACGATGGCACTCGCCTGTAATCCTAGTGGCTGAGGCTAAGGCAGGAGGATCATGAGTTCAAAGCCACTTAAAACTTGCCAGGCCCTAAGCAACTCAGCGAGACCCTGTCTCTAAAAATAAATAAATAAATAAATATGCCAACATAAAAAAATTAAAAAAACAAACAAAAAAGCTAGGGATGTCTCAGTGATTAAGGCCCCTGGGTTCAATCACAGTGCCAAAAAAAAAATTTTTTTTTTTTTTTTGAAAATTTTTTCCCCCCTTACTTTTCCATGGGATAATTAACTGCCCATCTTGTACTAATTAAATCTTCATGGCTTAGGAGCAAGGGAGTTTTGGTATGTGTTTGAAGATGTTGGTGTGTTAGTGGGTCAGTTGGGTCAATCTTAACTAGTTTCTCCAGGATTCCCAGGGGACGGATTAAAAACATCTGGTTCTTTTTAGGTCTGTGGATTAGATGTACAGGAATCTATTTTATCCACATTTCTGTTATGTTTTCCCAAAATGTCCCCTTTTGTTCCAGGCACAAAGGGAGTCCTCAGCACTGTTTGGAGGAACTGATAATTTCAGAAGTGGAGACAGTTGGATCAGGGAATCACTGGCTGCTGTGGGAATCAACTGGCTTATTGACATTGACTTGGGCAAATTTGACCCCCGCAGGGAGGTGACGGGAGCATAACTCGGGCAACATTGTTGTCTTCAAGGATGTTCAGTCTTGTTTTCCCCCCTTTGTTACAGGAAGATGCTGAAACTCTGTGGAGAGACAGAGGACAAGCTGGCTCAGGAGCTGATACATTTTGAATTGCAAGTGGAGAGAGATGTGATTGAGCCCCTGTTTCTGCTGGCTGAGGTGAGAAGCAGGAATTAGGCCAAGGCCGTGTGACCCTGGGAGGGCCCTGGGGGAGCTGCTGAGCTCACCCCTCCTGCAGCCTGATTGCTATTTCCATCCCGTTCCTGATTCCACGACCTTCTGTCTTTCATAAGGAATCATCACCACCTGGCCCTATGGTCAGGGTTCCCAGATACGGCAGCCCTTGCCACACTTCACCATGGCTCCCCCTCATATGCATTTCATGTTGCCATTCTGATGGGTAAAGATGTAAACATGGCTGCTTCACTTCCTTTCCTGCTCCTAGTCCTGTCTGCCACCCCCCGCCCCCTTCACCTCTAGTGACCCAATGGCCGGCTGTCCTCAGAGGGAGTCTGGGACCTGCGAGGCCTCTTGTGGGTGATGTTTACGTGATCTTTTCTCTTTAGACTTTAAAGTACACTCCAGTAAACTATTTAGCTATCAAGCTAGCTTCATGTCTGTGTGGCAGTTTTGCTGACTTCTACCAAGTGCGATTTTACCAAGAAAGACCAGAGATAGTTGGGGAGTTTGATTTGCCTAGGACCCTGGGCTCCTCCCAGTAATCTTTAATCAGCCATATGAAACCTAAGCACTGCGCTACCTGTGCACAGTTGGGTATCCCCAGCTTTACGTGGCTCTTGAGTATTTTAAACATGGTTAGTGCAACACAGTGCAACTCAGTTTTTAACTTTAAAATTTTTGTTAATTTAGATTGAGTGTCACAGAGCTCCCTGTGACTGGAGGCCACAGTGCTGGGCAGCATTGCCCTCAACCGTGTCTGGCTTCCTCTCTGGATCACCCCCAGGACCTCCACATCCTCTGGTATTCTTTCTCAGACAGAGGTATAGATGATTACTTAAGGACCTAGAGGTAATCGGAGAGGAAAGTCTTAGCTGTAATACTTTGACATAGGTTGACATAGACCAGCTCTAGGGTTCTGGGTTCCATCCTGTGGCCAGGCATCCCCTAGTTTGAACATTCATGAGAGACCCTGTGCTCCTCATAAGGCAGGATAGGACAGAGTTTTCTGGCCAAAGCCCGAAGCAACCCCAGGAACAAGGATGACCCGGAAACAAAGCCGATTCTCCTGCATGACTTGTAGGAGGACATGCCTTGCTCTGGGCCTAGGTGCAGACTCAGCCCGTCCGCAGGCACTCCATCTCCCCCTTGGTGCAGGAAGTTGGTGCTGTCAGCACCCCACCTCATCCCTGCTCCGTAGAGTGAATGGAACACTTCAGGGAACGTTGGGTTTTCCTCACATTTTCCTCATATATATATATATATATATATATATATATATATATGAAAAAGAAAATAGCCTGAGATGATTTTAGTTCAATTTACGGCCAATTTTCTTTTTTAATTCTCACATCCTGCCCTACTTTCGCTGGGCCTGGAACCAAAATCCTGCACTGGAATGTTCAGGGAAGTCATTTTTAGAAAGAAAAATATAAAAAGAGCATCCACATACAACCAAGTTGGAAGTACTCATCACAGAGGAAAACCAGGATGGCAATGTTTATTCATTTATTTACTTTGGAAAAAAAAATCTTACTTTATTTCTATAAATATACAAATATGCCTACTTTATTCATGCAAATATAAAATGTCTCTGCTCTTGCTATTCCTCTTGGCGTCTCAGATCTCCTGAGGCCAGTGCTCCTTCGATTCCCACTGTTTGTTTTTGGAGTTAGGTAGGAGTGTCAGACGAGACTTTTCAGCTCCCTTCTCCTGAGGCCGGTGCTCTTTCCATTCCCACTGTTTATTTTGAGTTAGGTCTGACTGTCAGCTGTGACTCAGCTCGGCTCTCTTCATTTCTGTCCTGTTTTTGCCCTGGTGGAAGTATCAAGATGTAGTCAAGCCTCTGTTTTCTGGCTGCAGTGTGGTCAGGCCTAGGAGAGCAGGGGAGCCCAGAACTTCTGAGATGGTCTGAGTTGAAAGGGGGGCCCGGCAGGTGTCCAGAGAAGAGACAACAGTGTATAATTCAGGATGAAGAATTAGGAATATCATCTAATATTGGCCAGAGGAGACTGCGGTAGTCAGGTTTCCATGATTATGACAAGATACTTGAGAATATTAATTTAAAAAGAAGAAAGGTTTATTTTGGCTTATTTTTTATTTTTTAATTTTTTAGAGCTTTTATTTCATGGTCAGTTGGCTCTTGTTTTGGGGTCTGTGAAGAGGCAGCACATTATGGCTGGAGTGCATAGTAGAGCAAAGCTTTTCACTTGGGAGAAGCTGGGAAGCAAAATCAGAGATAGGAAGGGGCCAGCATTCCCAATACTCCCTTTGAAGGCATGCCTGCAGTGACCTAACTTCTTCCAACTAGATCCTGTCCCCCCAAATTGCTACAGGCCTTTTGCATGTGGACTTTTGGGGAACATTTAAGATCCAAACTGCAATAGGCACAAAATTTCATTTATGCAAGATGAGTAAATTTAGGTAGTTGTAATGAACAGTATAATGTGACTATAAGTAATAACACTGTATTATGTATCTGAAATTTGCTAAGAAGGTAGATCTTAAGTGTTCTTATGGTGTGCATGCACACACACAATGTTGCAGAGGAAGAACACGATAACTATGCAGGGTGATGGATATGTTCATTAGCTTGATGATAGTAATCATTTCTCGATGTGTGCATATCAAAACATCAGGTTGTACACCTAAAATACTGACAGTTTCTGCTTGTTCACAATTATGCACAATTAAGCAGAGGAGGCAAGAAGGCCTTCCATCTGAAAATGAGGATCAAGACACTACTAGACAACTTGCTGTGTGCCTGACAATAGTTCTTAAAGAATAGTCATAAAGAATAATTCTAAAAGAATTTTTCATGGGCTTCAGCTCATGTGTCTCATCTTCTGCAACCGCAGGTGGAAATCCCAAATATTCAGAAGCAGAGGAAACATTTAGCAAAGTTGGTGCTGGACATGGATTCCTCACGAACCAGGTATAATTTTTTGGCTTTTCTTTTCTGTGTGTCTGGGAGTAGTGACCACGTTTCGGGTGGTGGCTGGTTAGTGTGGGTGAGCATGCTACGTCCTTCACTAGTTTTTTTTTTTTTTAAACTTCTGGTGCAAACCAGGCATTGGAGAAGTAGACACACTGGGTCCCTGCTCTTGCGGAGGCTGCAGTTGGGTTTTGGAAATAGATATCAGGCACGTGAACAAACAGGGCAATCTCAGGCAGTTATAAGCCGTAATGTACAAGATAATTCTAAGGGAAATGGTGCAGACAGAAGTATCAACATGAGGTGGGGTAAAATGAGGCTTTTTTTTTTTTTTTGAGAACACATCAGTCAGTCTAAAACTTTAATGGTGAGGAAGAGGCAGCCATGCAGAGATCTGGTGCAGATTGTCTATAGCAGAGGGAACACCCAAGTGCATCCTGAGGTAGGGGTAAATATGGCATATTGAAGGTGCAGAAAGAAGACTAGCATGGCTGGGGTGGAGGGAATAAGAGGGGACCCAAAAGGTAGGACAGTTGATAGATCATCACTCTAGTAGGGGAAGCGTTCCTAGTTCTGGGGATTACTGCCCTTCTGAACTTGGTGGCATAGGTAGATATCCCTCTGTAGTCATTCTGTAAACCTGAGGCCCTTCTGAGAGAACTTCACATCTTATAGGACTTTTCTAACCTGCTTCTCAGAGTCCACTGAAAATCCCTGTAGCCAGGGAGTGCCAGAGGCCCTGAGATGGCACTGACTGGCTGTCATCTGTGGAGTTGTTCTGTTTGCCCTTTGGTCTTATAGGGACAGGGGCGGGGCCAGGTACCACTAGCACGCACAAGTGAACTAGTGAAAGTTCCTGCGTATTCACCTGGAAGGAAGTGTTTACTTCTACCTTAGGTCTTTGTAGGTTAATCTTCATGATGCCCACATCTTTAATTTTCTCAAAATGAAGAAACAAAAACAGAATGTGCTTGGGTGAGAGGATATGGGACAAAGTCCAGCCACAGGACTCTGAAGGTCAGGTCCTGAGATCCCGAGCAGCTACTTTCTAGATCTGTGACATTGATAAAGTCACTTAATCTCCCAGAATATCCATTTCCTCACCTGTAGCATTCGTGGGCAGACCTGAGAAGGTTGTTTTGAGTATCAAATGAGGCAAAGGAAGTCACATCACTTCCCAAATACTTTACGAAAGGAAGCCCGAACTAGCACTACTTGGTTCCCTGGACTTCTGCATCTGGAACAGTAAAAGGCACAGGGCAGTTTCCCAAGGCCAGAAATAAAACAGGTAAAACCAGCAGAGCAACAAGAGTTCCCTTAATGAGTGTGATTTCCCAGACCTCCACCCACCTGAAGGGTTTTTGCCATCGGTGCCTATAAATCTTTCAAAAGTAGTTGATTAATTTTCAAAATAAATCTGTTTTTAACAGGAGTGTGATAGCACTGCCATGCACTGGGAAGCGGTGCCCTCGGTCCCCAAAGAATGTTGGCAGTGTACCCACAAGTTTAGTAGGAAGAATTATCTTTCCGCTCTTCAAGCTTCGGAGCTTGGACTCTTCTTGGGCCATGTTCAGTCTCCCTGTTTCTTCTCTGAAAGAAAAACCCAACTCTTGAGTCTCTTTATGGAAAGGATGGGCTGAGGAGACTGCCGAACCTTGAAATGTTGAAATGAACATGTTGAAATGAACATGAACCTTGAAATGTTCATGTTGCTTTTCCCAACAGTTTACTATCTGTACGATTTTTTTTCCAAGTTCCCCTTGATATTTTGTTACTATCATAACTATGTTATAATGTATATTAATATATATTGCCAATAAAATTCCCTAGAGAGAGAGTAAGAGGGGCATGCTTTTGAAGTACCAGGGTATTGACTAAAGGACAAAATTTAGTGGGGTGGGGGAGGGATAGGGAATAAAAGATAATGGGAAATATCTTTATTTTAATCTACATATATAAAATATAATTCAGATGGTTTTTAAAAAAAAAAAAAATCCAAATTTGCAAAGCCATAAAAATGAACTTATCATTTATAGTTACTTTATATGTGTTATATGTAATATGTGTGTGTGTGTGTGTGTATGCAGAAACACATACACACACATACATACACGCCAATTGGTTGCTTTTTCTTTACATAGTGGGAGTCAGAAGGTGGTTGTAACTCGATTCCATAATCTCCATGGAGTATTCACATTTTTATTGACTTAAATAAAAATTACAGTTATACCATCTCTTATTTACCAGGAAACCCCACAATACTTTAAAGTGGCTAAGGTAGAGAGGCGTTAATGAGCCACGCCATCTGTGTAGGGCAGACCTTTATAAGAAAGTGTCACTCGGGAATTCTCACAGATGCTTTTCTGCCCAGTTATTTCAGCTTAAATTTTAAAATCACTTCCAATAGAATACCTCCTCTCTCATTTGCCCTTAATGCTTATCTTGGAATCAGGAATCTTTCCTAGGACATGTGTCTATCCCTGGAGCTTCAGGCCAGCTTGAGATTCCCAAAGACTTTTTTTAAAAGTGATTTTCCCATGGTTACATTCTTTAAGTGACAGAGAATCCTTTATTTTGCTATTAACAAAGACACCTTTGCTTTGCCTTTTTTTAGTGTCCCTTCTATCATAGAGCTCTGCGCTCTTATGTTGTCCCTGTTGATAACAAAAGGGAAAAGAAAAAAAATCAGGCAGAGAAAACCCCTAGTGATTAGACTCTTTGACTCTCAAGATGAGGGGGCTGTTCCACGTTTTGTCCCTGCGTTGGAGGCTGCAGACTGATGGTCTGAGAACCAGAGATGGTGCACACAGAGATGTGTGTTGTTTGGTCTACAGCGTTGGCCTGCATGGGGTTTAAAAGACATCATTTTTATCTCTTGTCACATTTCCTAAGGGGAGTTCACATGAAAATTTCCAAATGCTCTCATTATTTGAAACACCTGGCAGCCCATGACCCACGATTCTACCTGGGCCCTCCCAGCCTGGACCAGAGACTGGGCAGCAGCCCAGGCAACACCTCCCCTCCCCCACCCTCCTGCATTGGCCAGGCTTGGCTGCCATTTGTCATCCTGATCACGCTATTGTTCTTCTTCAAGCCTAGAAATAGCTCTATTACAAGTAGAAAAGGAAAGAGGCCCTGGTCAAGTTTTCAAGATAGTGGCCTACTTGGCTCCTTTGGCCTACTTGCTGGCCTGAGTTCACAGACTGTCCAGAGAGGCCCTCGCTGCTGAGCCCCGCGTTACCTACTCCCTTCTACTGTCACTAGAACCTTCTTTCAGGGTCTGCATCTGGTAATTCCCTGATGATGACCTAGGAAACAGAACTATTTGCGCGTCCTCCTAACATTTTCTGAGTGACTTCCTAGGAAGGCCAGTATTCTCCCCACAAAGATACATTTTTAAGTAAATATAAATTGTCACTGTGACCAAAATACCTGACAAGAAAAACTTAGAGGAGAGGAGATTTATTTTGACTCACAGTTTCATGGGTTCAACCCACAGTCGGCTGGCAGCAGGGCAGACACAGAAAAGCTGTTGAGCTCATGGTAGCAGGGAAGTGGGGTGTGGGAGGGCACCCCCAGTGACCTGCTTCCTCCAATTAGGTGCCCCCCCCATTCAGTTGTCCATGGATAAATTCACTGACAGGTCAGAGCCCCAGGATCCAATCACTGCCTAACAGCCCCACCTTTGAACCTTGCTGTGTTGGGGACTATGCTTTCAATTCATGAGCTTTTGGGGACATTCCAGTTCCAAACCATAACACGAGGTATCTAATTGTGAGTGTGTAGTTGTTTTGTGTTTCCTGTTGGGGATTTTTGCTTTTAGATATGTTTTTCATCTTATTGGCATATCTTCTCACTTAGTATCCATTATTGGCTTCAACCAAAGTAGGTGAATATCCAAACTCAGGTTCTCACGGGGAATGTAAATGAATAGCAGAGACTGTGCTTTAAGGCAGTGAGTTGTTTTGAAATATATATTACATTATATTATATAGGGTTAGGGTTAGGGTTATATATATATATCTGTCTAGGTATACGTTACTGTGTTCAGCTGATTAAGTTTCAAACATCTCAGATCAAAAGTCAGTGAGGTGATGGATGTTTATTAACTTGATTTGATCATTCCACATTGTATGCTGAGCTTAATGGCTCAGCATATCACAGTGTCCCATAAATGTATGAAATTCTGATATGTCAGTAAAAATAACATTGATTTTCAAAAGACAGCCAAAGCGATTGTCATTTGGCCTTAATGTTTGGGATCCAATAGGAAAACAGTGTCAGACGGCGGGGGATGCTTGTCCTTTGTGGAGGGCAGTCGCTCCTTGGCTTTGGGCAACAGTTGGGATGTGGAAATGTGAGCCCCCTTTCTCATGATGGAGGACTTGGTACCTTTTCATTCCTTTCTGGTGAGAGTGCTCAGCATTCCCACAATATCCAGAGGGCTCTGCCTGTCTCACTTCTCTCCTCTTTTTCTCCTCTTTTCCATCAGGTGGCAGCAGACTTCCAAGTCTTCAGGTCTGTCCAGCAGCTTACAGCCTGCGGGTGCCAAAGCTGATGCCCTCAGGGAAGAGATGGAGGAGGCTGCCAACAGAGTGGAGATTTGCAGGGTACCTGCCCTCCTTACTCCTCTGACCTGGGGCAGACTGGGGAACCCTCAGGGATTTCCTTTTCTGTTCACTGGAGTTCTCTTAAAACTTATTAGTGAATCTTTAATTGGACTAAATGTCCCCAAACTTGCCTGCCAGCTAGCATCTCCCAGGAGTCTAGGAAGAACCCAGAATCGGGACTCTGATGGTGACCTAGACAGAGGGGCAGCACTAGATTCTCATCGGTGACCCTACTTGGTAGGCAAAGAGAAAATGACCTTTGTTTCTGTGGGGAAATTTTGTAAGACATCTGAGTCTCAAAAAAATAAATTAGAAGCCACACAGGACAATTGAGAATTTAGACTACCGAGGAGCCTTGCCTCACCATGACACACAATTGTTCCTGTTCTGTAATATTTCCTAAGTCACCATATTACCCATCCTGTACGTCCTGGGAGATGAGGACCTCTGGAGTCAAAATGCTAGCCATGGAGATAGTCACAGAGAAAAACTTCCCACTTTCAGGGGACAATGGGTCACGCTAAGAATTGTGACTGTGCTCGTGGAGTGAAGCCCTACATTGTGCCAAATCACGATTCCCATCTCCTTTTCCCACACACATCTTGGAGGACTGAATTAGCAGTACACCATTCATGGTTCTCTTGTGTGTGTGTGTGTGTGTGTGTGTACATCTGGTTACATGCATATGTGTCAGTTCGGGTTTCCAAGGAAACCCAAACTGTATTTAGATCCAAAAATATCATGTTTCTATAACTATTCTGGGCTCCTGTTATCTTCGTCACACACAGTTTTAAAGAAAGTAATCACTTTGCATGCAAGCACCCCTGTTCTTTACGACTCTATCTAGTCTTCTTAGCTTCCATTTGGCTTATTCTTTTCTAGCCACTCTGTGCAGGTGGCTTTGACTTTGCATTCAGACGACATTCAGAATCGGATAGACTTTCTCTTTGGCATTAGAAACATTGAAAGATTTTTAAAGAATTCATCATCTCCCAGCCTAGCGTTCTGTGGAACTAAGCAAAGTGAGGCCAGCACATCAGATCTAAGATGCATTGTGAGTAAAGCAGATTTGTTATGTGAACTCCTGGGTAAATGGCACATATCTAGCTGGTGTGCTATTCCTGAAGTATAATTCTTCTCCCTTTTTGATTTCCCTTTTACTCTGTATTCTTTAACTGTTTACCATAAATAGATATTCTCCAGTTAAGAACATTAAAATATATATATATATATATATATATATGTGTGTGTATATATATATATATATGTATATATATATATATATATTTTTTTTTCCTATACATGGAATATACAAGTGGAGAGGCTGAATGAGAATGTCCAAATACACCAGAATAAAAATGAGTTACCTTGGGGCTGGGGATGTGGCTCAAGTGGTAGTTCGCTCGCCTAGCATGCACAAGGCACTGGGTTTGATTCTCAGCATCACATAAAAATAAAATAAAGATATTGTGTCCACCTAAAACTAAAAAATAAATATTAAAAAAAAATGAGATACCTTGATATCTTTTTTGTAGCTTCTTACATTTCCTATTGTGCCAAAAATATTCCTCTTCAGAGATTATCAAGTAATATATATTTACTATGAGCAATGAAATAATACAAAAATATGTTATGAAAACACCAATAATCCTCTCCCTTCCTGCCCATCAACCCATTTCCAAAGAAGGTGACTAATATCTCTTCCCACCAATATTTTTTAAAACTTCCTGTGATAATATATTCTATTATATGCTGAGTGACCATAAAATTTATAAGAATAAAGGAAACCAGTATTAAGAACCTGTTTATATAGCCCTCCACACCTTTTTGGACAATCATACCACCACTTACAAATATATAATATTATTCTGGTTTGCTATTTTTGCTATTTTTAATAAAATAGTCATGCTATTTATATTGTATTAACCTACCATTTCGTTTTCTAAATTAACACTGTATTTAGGACATCTCGCCAAGATAGTGCCTATCTACCTAATGTAACCTTTTTGATAAAGTGCATCATATTCCATGCAAAGGAATACAAACACATACATAGATACACATGTGTACATGGATACACATGCATACACACACATACATATACACACATGCACCATGACTACTTATTTCAGTATTTTCATATTGAGGGAAATTCAAACTGGTGTAGTTCTGGTTTTTTTAATATTGGGGTTTATTTTGACATAATGATGCAAGCATGGACTCTTTAAAAAAAAAAATATATATATATATATATGTATGTATGTATATTTAGTTGTAGATGGACACAATATGTTTGTTTATTTTTATGTGGTGCTGAGAATAGAACCCAGTGCCTCACACATGCTAGGCGAGCATTCTACCACTGAGCCACAACCACAGCCCTGTTTTGTTTTGTTTTTATCCTTCATCAAAATGATATGATAAACAACCCTATGTATATCATTGTATCCTGGTAAATTTTTTTCTATAGAGTACATATATTCCACTAAATAGTATTTTTTCATCAAAGTCTGTGCACATTTTTTTTTTCAATTTTAGTGGAGATTGACATTCTACTTCTCTGAAAAGGAAATTATAATTCACATTTTTACCATCAGTTTTTAAAAATTACACACTTCCCCTCATTGAAACCAGTAATGTACAATTTTGGCCAGTCTGGTGGTGTGTGTATGTGTGTGGGGAGCTATCTCTATGTTATTAAAATATGCATTGAAAATTAAAATGGAAGTTATGAACATGGTTTACCTTTTAGGTAGAAGATACATAATGGTCCAGGTAGGAACCATGACATATGCAAATGATGGGTGTATCTTATGTGTTTATTGAACAGTTTACATATATTTATTGGCATTCTCAGTTTGGGAAATTGCCTAAATTTATTAGCAGTTGGGCTAATAACTTTTTTTTTTAATTATCTGTATACTAGGGTCATTAAACTTTTTGTGTGTGTGTGTGTGTGCTGCATATTTTTATTTCCCCATGTGCCATTTGCCTTTTGACTTTGTTTATTTTGGCATCTGCCATTAAAAACAATCACATAAGTTTATTTCTTTTGGGAAAAGTGTCTGCCTCTCCCTTTATGTGTCTTCTACCTGAAGAATAAACCACATCCATACTGTCATTTTAACTTTTTAATGCATTTTATACATTTTAAGACTCCAGGAATTTATTTTTATGCATAGCTTAAAATAAAGGTGTTTTTTGTTTGTTTTCCATTTTTCTTTCAGTTGGATAGTCAGTTATGCCAGGGGTATTTATTTAACAAGCACCTTTCCCAGAAGTGAAATTCTCTACTCTCCAGGTCCTCAAATTCATTAGTGAACTCTGTGTCCTGTTAATTAATCTCCGTGTCTGTTCCTAGGACAATGGTACATAAATCTGTTTTCATGACTTCACGCAGATGCAGTCTGGAGTAAGGCAGCGCCACTATTTCTCATAGTTACCTGGGCGAGTCTGTGACATAGAGCAGATAGATCACCTTGAGAGCAACTCACTGTGGGTTTTGCTGAACTTCTCTTCTGACTCATTTCTGCTTCGTTGGTTGCCAACGGTATTAAGTGTCCACTTTGGTCTATCTCCCTCTATTTCTGAGTTCATTGAGTGGACTTCCCTGATCTTTTCATAGTTGTATATTTTGTTATCAGGTAAGACAAACCTTTGGGGTCTCCTCCTTTGTACAAACTAGAAAAATTAGAACATGTGGAGTAAAAATGATGAGTAGGAATCCAGGATTTCTCTTTGTTTACAGAGAAGATCTCACAGAGAGGACCCAGATAGGACTCTCCAAATCTTTGGGGCCCAGAGAATCTTAGCCCACCAGGAAGCCAAGTTTGGGGTGAAGGAGGGGTTTTAGAAGACGCCACCTACGGGGACCTCAGGTGGATGGCAGGTGCAGGGTCCTGCCTGGGTTCTCTGAGCCACCCAGCCAGTCCCTGTCTTGCTTCCATATTCAAGAAGAGACAAACCCCAGGCCTCTCTACTGGTGCCCACTTTCTCTTTTCTTCCCATGACTACTTATAAAAGTACCCTGAACCAGGGCATCTTGAGAGGGTTAAGACATTGGTAATTTTTCACTAAGATGGGAGGAAGTGGAGAAGGACCTGTAGTCACCTTTGCTTCTCCATCGTGAGGGTGATGATGGTGGTTTAGTGAAGCCTTCAGACTGGGGATCATCTTATTTGTAATGTGCTCTGTCCTCCCCTTTAGGTAAATGATCTGGCTGTGCCCAGCCTCCTCAGTGTCACTACCACCTGGGATCAGGAAGCTCCCAGTGGTGTTTCAGGAAAGTCCACATTAGTGGAAACTCTGCCACCATGTAGCTTCCTTAGATCTCCTGGGAGAGGTTCTCCTGGAAGAGAAGAATCTCTATATCATGAGCTACTAATCCTGATGGCAGGTGTCCTCTAAGACATCAGCCTCTCCCCACCTGGCTCCATAATCTGCAGAGTCCCCAAATTTACATCAGACAGGATTTAGGTTCTGAGAACATTCTGTGTAGGAATAAGGGGCAGGAGAGTGGTGCTCACTATTTTAAGGTGTTTAAAAAAAAAGTTCTGAATAAATGATTCTTCTGTCTTAGAAAAAGTAATAAAAGTGTAGTCATCCCTCAGCATCTTTGGCGGATTGGTTCTAGTATCCTGCTAACACCAACATTTGTGGATGTTAAAATCCCTTATATAAACCTTGTAGTATTATATGACCTATATTCCTCCTTCTGGGTACTTTAAATAGTGTCCAGATTATAAAACCTAATTTAATGCAAAGACTGTGTACATAGTTGTTATGCTGTATGTTTATGGGATGGTGATGAGAAGGGAAAAAAAAAACTATGTTCAGTACAGCTGTAATTTTTTTTTACAATATTTTTGATCCATGGTTGGTTGATTCTGTCGATGTAGAACCTATAGATATCGAGGGTCAGCTGCACCCAAGAATTCAAACACTTTGGAAAAATATTTACTGATGGTCATAATAAATTTCAGACAGCACATCTTGGTGCT